AGCCAAAAAGCAAGTTTTTAGTATCTCCGGACCACTAGGGGGCAGTGCGCCGAAACTCCGCAATTAACCTTAGACCCTAGTTGTCATAACACACACCAAGTTTGGTGTGAATCGGTGAATGCATTACAGAGATATCGCCTCAAGTCCATTTTCGCAAGTTCTACGTTAAATTAGTTCGTAAGTTAAACGAAAACGGTTGGTCTAATCAACTTGAATTCCATAACTTTTGGTTGGCATGGTCTGTAGATCATGTGATTCAATTTTGGTGAAAATCGGAGACACGGCCTAGGACGAGTTCGATCAAATAGGTTTTTCGAAAAATTTTAAATAGCGCGAAAAAATTCATGACGGAAAATGACGTCATAGGGTGGGTTTGAATCGGACTGAGCCAAGGAATCAGAGGAAAAAAGAATTTTGATTGTAGCCCATTCGGTTCAAAAGTTATCATGATAAACATACGTGAAAGTTTGGACAAGTGGTGGCGCTAGAGAGTTTGATTTTGAGACTTCATAATTGGCCTGATTAATGTTAATACTGGCCTCTATCATTGTGCCAAATTATACAACTTTCCCGCATACGCCTATATGGGCTGCCATTCAAATCCGGCGGAAGAAACGGAAGAAGAAGAAGAAGAATAATAATAATAATAATAATAAGAACACTAACGAAAGCAATAGGTGCCTACGCACCTACGGTGCTTGGCCCCTAAATATAGCTGCAAGCAGCAATTAAGGGGCCAAGCACTATTGGCCATAAGGTGGCGCTGCTCCAGACGTTTTTGAGTACTTTCAGGGCATGGGGTTGAAGATGCATACCATGTTTTGTAATGATATGTGAATGTGTTGGTAAAATATTGCATTTTTGGCCAAAAATCGAAATGGGCGACGCCCAAAATGGCTGACCTGTGAAAATCAGACATCATTCGACTCGGCATGCTCTGCCGGATGTAATGAGACCAATTTCATGAGTTTCGGACGAAAGGTTGAGACGTTATAAGCCAAAAAGCAAGTTTTTTGTATCTCCGGACCACTAGAGGGCAGTGCGCCGAAACTCCGCAATTAACCTTAGACCCTAGTTGTCATAACACACACCAAGTTTGGTGTGAATTGGTGAATGCGTTACGGAGATATCGTCTCAAGTCCATTTTTGCAAGTTCTACGTTAAATTTGATTGCAAGTTAAACGAAAACGGTTGGTCAAATCAACTTGAATTCCATAACTTTTGGTTGGCATGGTCTGTAGATCATGTGATTCAATTTGGGTGATAATCGGAGAAACGGCCTAGGACGAGTTCGATCAAATAGGTTTTTCGAATAATTTAAAATAACGCGAAAAAATTCATGACGGAAAATGACGTCATAGAGTGCGTTTGAATCGGACTGATCCAAGGAATCAGTGGGAAAAAGAATTTTGATTGTAGCCCATTTGGTTCAAAAGTTATCATGATAAACATACATGAACATTTGGACAAGTGGTGGCGCTAGAGAGTTTGATTTTGAGACTTCATATTTGGTATGATTAATGTTAATGCTGTCCTCTATCATTGTGCCAGATGCTTACCATGTTTTGTAATGATATGTGAATATGTTGGTAAAATATAGCATTTTTGGCCAAAAATCGAAATGGGCGACGCCCAAAATGGCTGACCTGTGAAAATCAGACATCATTCGACTTGACATGCTCTGCCGGATGTAATGAGACCAGTTTTATGAGTTTCGGACGAAAGGTTGAGATGTTATAAGCCAAAAAGCAAGTTTTTTGTATCTCCGGACCACTAGGGGGCAGTGTGCCGAAACTCCGCAATTAACCTTAGACCCTAGTTGTCATAACACACACCAAGTTTGGTGTGAATCGGTGAATGCGTTACAGAGATATCGCCTCAAGTCCATTTTCGCAAGTTCTTCGTTAAATTAGTTCGCAAGTTAAACAAAAACGGTTGGTCTAATCAACTTGAATTCCATAACTTTTGGTTGGCATGGTCTGTAGATCATGTGATTCAATTTTGGTGAAAATCGGAGACACGGCCTAGGACGAGTTCGATCAAATAGGTTTTTCGAAAAATTTAAAATAGCGCGAAAAAATTCATGACGGAAAATGACGTCATAGGGTGGGTTTGAATCGGACTGAGCCAAGGAATCAGAGGAAAAAAGAATTTTGATTGTAGCCCATTCGGTTCAAAAGTTATGATGATAAACATACGTGAAAGTTTGGACAAGTGGTGGCGCTAGAGAGTTTGATTTTGAGACTTCATGTTTGGTCTGATTAATGTTAATACTGGCCTCTATCATTGTGCCAAATTATACAACTTTCCCGCATACGCCTATATGGGCTGCCATTCAAATCCGGCGGAAGAAACGGAAGAAGAAGAAGAAGAATAATAATAATAATAATAATAATAAGAACACTAACGAAAGCAATAGGTGCCTACGCACCTACGGTGCTTGGCCCCTAATAATAAGAACACTAACGAAAGCAATAGGTGCCTACGCACCTACGGTGCTTGGCCCCTAATAATAAATATAGCTGCAAGCAGCAATTAAGGGGCCAAGCACTATTGGCCATAAGGTGGCGCTGCTCCAGACGTTTTTGAGTACTTTCAGGGCATGGGGTTGAAGATGCATACCATGTTTTGTAATGATATGTGAATGTGTTGGTAAAATATAGCATTTTTGGCCAAAAATCGAAATGGGCGACACCCAAAATGGTTGACCTGTAAAAATCAGACATCATTCGACTCGACATGCTCTGCCGGATGTAATGAGACCAGTTTCATGAGTTTCGGGCGAAAGGTTGAGACGTTATAAGCCAAAAGCAAGTTTTTAGTATCTCCGGACCACTAGGGGGCAGTGCGCCGAAACTCCGCAATTAACCTTAGACCCTAGTTGTCATAACACAAACCAAGTTTGGTGTGAATCGGTGAATGCGTTACAGAGATATCGCCTCAAGTCCATTTTTGCAAGTTCTTCGTTAAATTAGTTCGCAAGTTAAACAAAAACGGTTGGTCTAATCAACTTGAATTCCATAACTTTTGGTTGGCATGGTCTGTAGATTATGTGATTCAATTTTGGTGAAAATCGGAGACACGGCCTAGGACGAGTTCGATCAAATAGGTTTTTCGAAAAATTTAAAATAGCGCGAAAAAATTCATGACGGAAATGACGTCATAGGGTGGGTTTGAATCGGATTGAGCCAAGGAATCAGAGGAAAAAAGAATTTTGATTGTAGCCCATTCGGTTCAAAAGTTATCATGATAAACATACGTGAAAGTTTGGACAAGTAGTGGCGCTAGAGAGTTTGATTTTGAGACTTCATAATTGGCCTGATTAATGTTAATACTGGCCTCTATCATTGTGCCAAATTATACAACTTTCCCGCATACGCCTATATGGGCTGCCATTCAAATCCGGCGGAAGAAACGGAAGAAGAAGAAGAAGAATAATAATAATAATAAATATAGCTGCAAGCAGCAATTAAGGGGCCAAGCACTATTGGCCATAAGGTGGCGCTGCTCCAGACGTTTTTGAGTACTTTCAGGGCATGGGGTTGAAGATGCATACCATGTTTTGTAATGATATGTGAATGTGTTGGTAAAATATAGCATTTTTGGCCAAAAATCGAAATGGGCGACGCCCAAAATGGCTGACCTGTGAAAATCAGACATCATTCGACTCGGCATGCTCTGCCGGATGTAATGAGACCAGTTTCATGAGTTTCGGACGAAAGGTTGAGACGTTATAAGCCAAAAAGCAAGTTTTTAGTATCTCCGGACCACTAGGGGGCAGTGCGCCGAAACTCCGCAATTAACCTTAGACCCTAGTTGTCATAACACACACCAAGTTTGGTGTGAATCGGTGAATGCATTACAGAGATATCGCCTCAAGTCCATTATCGCAAGTTCTATGTTAAATTAGTTCGTAAGTTAAACGAAAACGGTTGGTCAAATCAACTTGAATTCCATAACTTTTGGTTGGCGTGGTCTGTAGATCATATGATTCAATTTTGGTGAAAATCTGAGACACGGCCTAGGACGAGTTCGATCAAATAGGTTTTTCGAAAAATTTAAAATAGCGCGAAAAAATTCATGACGGAAAATGACGTCATAGGGTGGGTTTGAATCGGACTGAGCCAAGGAATCAGAGGAAAAAAGAATTTTGATTGTAGCCCATTCGGTTCAAAAGTTATGATGATAAACATACGTGAAAGTTTGGACAAGTGGTGGCGCTAGAGAGTTTGATTTTGAGACTTCATAATTGGCCTGATTAATGTTAATACTGGCCTCTATCATTGTGCCAAATTATACAACTTTCCCGCATACGCCTATATGGGCTGCCATTCAAATCCGGCGGAAGAAACGGAAGAAGAAGAAGAATAATAATAATAATAATAATAATAATAATAATAATAAGAAGAACACTAACGAAAGCAATAGGTGCCTACGCACCTACGGTGCTTGGCCCCTAATAATAAGAACACTAACGAAAGCAATAGGTGCCTACGCACCTACGGTGCTTGGCCCCTAATAATAAGAACACTAACGAAAGCAATAGGTGCCTACGCACCTACGGTGCTTGGCCCCTAATAATAATAATAATAATAATAATAATAATAACAACAATAACAACAACAATAATAATCATCATCATCATCATCACCGTCATCATCATCATGATATTTGTAATAATAAAAATGAAACTCTAACACTAATAATAATAATAACAATAATATTTGTAATACTACTGCTACTACTACTACCACTGCTTATAATAATAATAATAATAATAAAATTAAAAAGAATAATAATAATCGTAATAATAATATTTGTAATAATAATAATATTAAGAATAATAATAAAAAAGAAAAATAAGTGTCCAAACGAGGCTTCCTTACTCTTTTCTATTTTTTTATTCCGGCCTCAAACTTCTGAAGCTAGTGTACACTGTACTGCATATTGGCAGTAGTTCTACCATGGGATTTCTTACTCTTGCTGCTTGTCTTCCACAGATATTTGGTTCTAGAGCATGTGTCAGGTGGAGAACTATTTGACTACTTGGTAAAAAAGGGCAGGTTAACACCCAAAGAGGCCAGGAAGTTCTTCAGACAGATCATCTCGGCGCTGGACTTCTGCCACAGTCACTCCATATGGTAAGACTTCTGTGTTCAAATCAAATCTCAGTGAGTCAGAAGCCTTCGTTTCCAGCGTTCGAAGCATGGCACGCTCTCATTATTCAGTTCAAGCAAGTCAAATATGTTGGTATTGCTGCTGCGAACATTTTTTGTCTGTTTTCATACATCATGTATAGCCAGCAGCTGTTGTTGTCCGGCGTGTGTTACTGCTGTTCTCTCATTTATTATGTATGGTGAAAGCCACCTCAAGTGAAGCGTTTTTTTTTTTTTTTTTTCAGTCATTGCAAAGCACTGTTTGTGAATACAAATATAATCATATTGAGATATTATTGTTTTGCACCCTTGATCTAGTCTCTAACCACAAACCCACACACACATTTTGAGGGTCAGAGATTGATAGCTGCCCTCCAGTGCAACTTCAGAATACAGACTTTTTTTATTACTGAGTGTATCCTCAAGCTTTCTTTCTTCACATCTTTGAGATATAAATGAAGATTGTGCTCAAATTTTCTTTATACGCTTTCTCTCTGTCTTTTCTGACTTTGGAGCCGAGAGGGTTTCCATTAGCCGGGCAACAACAGGAGATGATGAAGGGTTTTGCGTTCATAGTTCCTGGGATTTTAAGAAATTCTTTATTTTTACTGAGCCAAGGGTTAACATTATTATAACAATTATACAAATTAACAATTTTAAAATGCGTAATGAGGTGACCTAGCCCCCCAAAAATGTAATAGATACGTCTTTCAGAGGTATTTGAAAATTAATTACATTCAATTGGGATTGTGAAAACTAAAATAACCATGTTTTACTTTTAATTGCTAATGGGTCGGGGAACTGTGTTTTTTCTGATCCATTAAAATGTTTTGGAAAAGCAGGCAAAAGATTTATTCTTATTTTTTAATCTTTTATTGATCATTGAGGTTTGAATAATCAAGCATTTAAATACTATATATATTTTCTGTAGTATATACAGTATATAGACTCTGAATACACGATTTGTTTAACTGTTATATATGCAGTATGAGCAATATCCCGCAAGTAGCAATGAGATATGGCTGTATATCAGCCCTAGTGGTAGACTTGCGTTTGCTTGCTGTCACAGGCCAAGTGCCTTAGTGTCCCGCCAGTGACAATATACAACCGTATCCTACTGCTACAACTGTTTGACAGAATAATAATGTATATAAAAAAAGAAAAGGACGAAGCAGTGGCGCTGTAGGTAGTGCTGTCGCCTCACAGCAAGAAGGTCGCTGGGTCGCTGGTTCAAGCCTTGGCTCAGTTGGCATTTCTGTGTGGAGTTTGCATGTTCTCCCTGCCTTCGCGTGGGTTTCCTCCGGGTGCTTCGGTTTCCCCCACAGTCCAAAGACATGCGGTACAGATCAATTGGGTAGGCTAAATTGTCCGTAGTGTATGACTATGTGAGTGTGTGAATAGGTGTGTGGGTGTTTCCCAGAGATGGGTTGCGGCTGGAAAGACATCCGCTGCGTAAAAACTTGCTGGATAAGTTGGCCATTCATTCCGCTGTGGCGACCCCGGATTAATAAAAGAACTAAGCCGGCAAGAAAATGAATGAATAAAAACGAAAATCAAACACGAAGAGTCTAAAAATTCTTATGTATGAGGAACTACTTCCTTCGACCATTTATTCACTTCTGTAGCTGATCGTCAGAACAGCAGAAACTGTTCAAAGAGTAGCCAGCACAAAATACATACATTTCTAATATATGAGTCCCATCTCACTCTCAATACACTATAATAACTAAGGTATAAGTACAGCAAAGTAACATAAAAAAGAGGGAGATCGACTTAAAAAGTCACTCACCAGTTTGATAATGATTTAATCAGCTGTAGAAAATATGCCAATCTTTTCACCTCTAAGCTCTTATTACGCACTCTCTGTTGCCATCTTGTGGCAGAGCGTCAACCCTCTGCTCTGCTCAGTAGGACAGGCTGATAGATGCCGACGTGCTGTATCTCCAAAATTATAACTATTTAAAATAGGCACTATCCTTATAAATAAACTACATGCAATATGAACAACTGCATTCTTGCGTCAAAAGTACATTATGTTTTCCAATGGCATAATTGTCAAACCATATTGAGTTTATTGACCTGCTGTTACTTTATGTGGGCAGAGAAATACAGAAGGGTGAAGAGGCTGTTTGAATGCTGTTATGGCACAATATCAGAATATCAGATTCGAGAACCCGACAGAACTGTTGTATAAATGAAGAATTCAGATGCAAACCCTCTAAATCCATCAGACCTCTTTTTTGTAAAAGAGCATTTTCTATCAGGCTTCTACAATTAGGTTCAGAGGGTTCATTTTGTAGGTAATCAAAAGTTTATTATCTAGTAAGTAAAATAAATGTATTTCATAAGTGTCTTTTTTCACAATTCTTTGGTTTTCAACAAGGTGGATTTTATTTTGCGTAAAAATCAGTTAAATCCATTCCTGCTTTATATGCAGAAACCTCTAAATCCACCTAGTTTAAAGACGGTGTAATTAGCTGAAAAATCACTAAAGATGCAATTAAAAAATATTTTAACAAACACAAAACACATTACACAAACCACCTTGAATTAAAAAAATCTAAATCTGTCAAGTAAGTGACGGTTCATTCCGCTGTGGGGACCCCTGATAAACTAGGGACTAAGCAGAAGGAAAGTGAATGAATGAAATCTGTCAAGTGCATTAACCCATAACATAAAAATTGACATTCATTAAATCTTAACGATCCGTTGTCATTTTTGTTATTTATGATTTAGATTTAATGTAATTAGAACAATGTAAACATTAAAAACATTGTAAACTACACTTAATGTAGTGCAAAAATATTGTGACGCATCAATATCTGTGCATTGTCTATTAATATAAAAAGCTTATCAGACATAAAGCATAAAAATATATTAAAAATATATAGTTTTATACACTAAATTCATCTTTTAAAAAATAGCTTACATTAGCAAATAAAACACAAGGTGGGCCTACTGGGGAAAAAGTTTATGTCTTAAACACTTTTAGAAGCTGTCATTCATTCTTTCTCACCATACTCAAGGTCTTGGCCTCTTTTTTGTCTCTTGCTTATCCTTATAGCATGTGGCATAAAAAGACCGGCTACTAACTTTGACTTTTTTTTAAACAAAGTTGGCGTTTAATATATAGTAAATTGGACTCATTCAAAGTAGCGTTGCTGCGCAAAAAAACGTTTTGAATGCATGTTACACTTCCGACTGTACAGTGGGTTTTCTCTTTTTCATAATGCACATAGTTTTGAGGTAAGGGACGTTTTCATTCACTGACATTCCGCCATTCACTGACAGTTGGACAGGCTCCAATTCATCAGACTCTTTTACAATCTAAATCGGAAGTGGAATAAAACAGTCTCCTAATTAAGGCTGGCATACCAGCGGGCCGTTACATTGAAAACATATGATTCGATCCACGCCTTTAGATTGGATCTCGGGACATGGCGACTTTTGCTGTGAAAGGCAGGTGGCGTTTACAGGGTTTTGCCCTGTTTTTTTTCTGAATAGGCTGATGCTGCCATTTAGATGATTTGAAGCAAAATTATTTGTTGAACATGTACTGCATGCCTAAAGCTTTTGCTCAATGCCATTAGCTAATTTTTGGCAGAAGTGGCGATTAGCGTCTTTTCCAGCTAAACTCTTCCAATTTACATTATTTATAACATATATATTGTATATATTATATTAAATTTATAAAACGTAATATTTAAAATATTTTGCCCTCCTGTAAAGAATACATTATTTTCTTCTTTAAATATTTCTTTAGAGACATATTTGAAAAAGAAATACAATTTTTCACGAGTGTTAATAATTTTGCCTTCAACTCAAATTTGATTAATGATAACCTTTTGACTTTAGGATACAATCCTATATGTTACATTTTCAGATTTGACTTACAAATGATGTAAATAACAATGATCCCTTTTCAGTATGTTTGAACCTTATCATCTAGCGCAGCATTACTCTACAAAACTCAAAAACTGTGACAAAGGGCGGTTGGATGACAGCCTGTGTTTCCTCTAAGTGGACTCTGATTTAAGAGAAGTTCACTTCAAACTTCTCTCAACTTTAAGAGCTAGCGCTAATGCTAATAATGTTTCTGTTCGAATTCTCACGACCATATCCTCTTCATATGCTAATATCCTAATGCACTGAAGGGGCAGCCATTAGCACAATATTTGCATCTGTTTACCATGCACTTCAGCAGTCGCACAGCCTAATGAAGACAGCCGCATGCTTCCAGCACAGCTCAACTAGCTGATGGATGGTTTGAAGGCCTTTCACGATAGGTGATGGAAAGCGTTGAATAAACAGCATAGCAGGGAGACATCACTCGTTCGCTCCTCTTGCTCGTTTGCAGCCATTTTCCTCTCTGGGGTTTGAAACCTCCACTCAGATAATGTGCTGTGTTGATAGCCTTCTGCTATCACTGCATTCACAGGGATGAAATTATGGCTTTCTGGCCCCACTGTGAGGACAGACGAAAAGACTAAAGTCTGAATAAAGCCTGTCAAATTCATCAGCCTTTTACACGATACGAGTGCTGTCAGGTACACACGAGGGCATTGAGGAGGAAGAGGAGCCAAGTTAACTTGTGTCTAAGTAACTAGGCCTGACCCTCAAGTGGTTTTCTCTGTTGTGTTTTTGGAAGGGAGTTGCCATTGTCTGGATAGAGAGAATGATGTGGTGGTTTAACGCTATTTAATACTGCACCCCCCCAAATTTATTGTTTTAAAGAGCCCCTTTTCTGCATTAAAAAGGTCATATTTTGGGGGTCTCCAACAACAGGCTGATATGCATGCAATGTCCCACACCCTTCCTTAGTGTGATGCTCATGTGCACTGATTTGTTCGATGACCCAGTCTGTTGTGATTGGTCGTCTGCATTCAGCGCGAGACAGAGAGAAACACCCACCACGGCTTATCAACATTGTTGAAGTTGTCAGAGTTCAGTGTGTATGTGTGAGCCCAATGCAGAAGTATTTTAAA